TAAAATGTATATTACTTTTTAAATAAGTGGATAATTATTTGGAAGTTATATAGAATTTTAAAAATATGTAATGTATTAATCAGTCTAAATAGTCATATTTCTTATTGCCTACAGACTATAGTTTAGGTTCAATTATTTTTAATTATTAAAAAATACTTAGAAAGTCTTAAACTGGGACATTTATAAAGTGCCAGATTTGGGTATTTTGTTGTAGTTACTAGATGAGTGCTGTCTCTGCACAACTTTTATTACAGAGAGAATTTAAGGAGCGAACAATTATCTAATGTATTGTCCTGAAAGAGGAAAGCACAAGCATAAATAGCAAACCCTGTTAACTTTTGACTTTTTATTGGTTATAGCAGTCTTTAGCTGTAATCCGTTATGCCCCTTCTTTAGACCTTGATTGTAAAAAACAAACAGGATCATTCCCACAGGACATAGTTACTCATCATACAGAATTATATCTGTGGAAAAGGCTTCAAGAGATTTCCAGATAGACTCTTGCAATGGAGTTGAAACTCCACACTTGCCAGTACAGACACACCGTGTCATTTTCTAACCATTGAGAGTATGGGTACAAAAATAAATATACACATGCCGTGTTCTTTCTTTCACTAACTGCATGCTGCACCTGTGCACACATAGATCTGATGACATCTGTTAACATAATAAATCTCAAGTGGTTTGTGGTGTCATCAAAAACCTGAGATGGTGGTATGGCTCACAGCCTTACCAATCCCAGGCTATGGCCTTGTTAAATTTCGCAGGCTAAATAGAGACAGACTCAGACCCATTCCATACACCAATCGGAGGTTTTCAAGAGCAGGTTAAGGTGGTTTATAAAAAAAAAAAAAGAAAGACTGGAGTAATGATTCAGTATGTGAAAAATCTTTTCTTAGATCCAACAGTGGCAAATCAAGGATGTCTCCTAGATTAAAAAAAATGTTTGTTATCACAATTATTAGGAATTCTCAATTTGAAGTATCAGTCATTTGTTAGCCTACTTAGGATTTTAAAACTTCCTTCAAAAAGAAAGTAAACACAAGTAAATCTTCATATCCTGCTTACTCACACTTTTATATAACATTAAATTTTAACCATCAAAATGGCCATAAAAAGAAATGATTTGAACCAATTTCAGCTGTAATAATGATTGAATTGAGCAAAGAAAAAACAAATGTTTTCTTAAATTTTTTCAGGATATTTTGTGCCATATGTAAGGTTTCTGAAACAACACAATTACTAAGGTACTTTTTTAAAACATTTCAAAAAACAGAGGCATCTGGCAATTCAGAAATTAGTGAGGCAACAGGATGCAAGAAAGCGCTAGACAGTCTACCGATCCTTCATCATGGTCCTGGCAAAGGACCATCCTGCCTTTTGCTCAGTGGGTCACTTTCAACAACAATGTCAATGTCAAGACCTCTGCATTCTAATCCTGTGGTCAGTAGTTTCCAGTGTCACAGATTACTACTGGCATATCTAGGACACGATATCATTTCAAATTGCCCATTACTTAAAGAAAATCGATAATCACGTCTTGTATCTTTATTCCATAACTCAGAAATCTTAGATACAGCCGGGGGTAGACAAAGAATTTATTCCTTTTACACGTATGCATTGAGGCTGAGTATGGCTCCAGACCTGGGCGAGGTGCTGCTGTAAAAAGATGGATAGGTTTTGAAGGATCTCTGTTTTTGTGATACAAATGTTTTTGTACTAATATTCTCCTCTGAATTTATTTAGAAATGAGGAATCTTTGCATGGGATATTTTGAAAATCTCCAAATAAACACACTAAATAACCAACCTTGTTTTTCTGCTCACTTTACAGGCAGTTGATATGGAATGAAAACAGTCTTAATAGAAACCAAAGAAAAATTTCATTAGGGACAATAAATCAGATGCTCTTCTCACCCACCCCATTAAAACAAAACAAAATCCTCGTATAATATATTCAGAAGCCAAACTAACAAAGTTGGCAAATTTTGATGCCACTAGGTTTTATGGTGTGAGAAAAAAATGTAAATAACAGGAAGAAAAAGAGAACAGAGAGAAGCAGTGTTTGGTGGGAAGCTTCTGGCACATAGGACTTACCTATCACCTATCCTACAGCTGCTTGATGGTTTCTTCCACCAACTTCTTGTTCAACAATGATCCACAAGCAAATTCAGAGGTCAGGGTAGAAATACAAGTTTCAAGAACATACCTATCCAGGCGCCGGTGGCTCACGCCTGTAATCCTAACTACCCAGGAGGCGGAGATCAGGAGGATCACAGTTTGAAGCCACCCACGGCAAATAGTTTGCAAGACCCTATCTTGGAAAAAAAATTCACAAAAAAAATGGGCTGGTGGAGTGGTGCAAGGTGAAGGCCCTGCGTTCAAATCCCAATACTGCAAAAAAACAAAAACAAACAAAGAACATAACTAATTCACTTCCTCTCCCTTTTCTGTTCAGTCTGGTACCATCCTACGTTGCCCTCTTAGTGTTTCTTTTACTATCTTCTTGCAATTTTTTTTTTGTTATACAAACAAGAGTAGAGACACTTTAAGTTAACATCACAAAATTAAAAAAAAAAAAAAAAAAAGGGCTGGCAGAGTGGATCAAGTGGTAGAGCACCTGCCTAGCAAGCATGAGACCCTGAGTTCAAACCCCAGTTTTGCCAAAATAGACAGAAACAAAAAAAGATTTTTAAAAAAAGACATCCACTTACAATCCTACCACCTAAAAATAGCTTAATTTTCATATATTTCCCTGAGGTATTTTTATTGCGCACACACACACACACACACACACACACACACACACACACAGAGAGTTTGCCTGGTTGCAATCTTAAAATAGGTAGAATTTTATTCTGTAACTTTTCCACTTATCCTTCTATTCACATTATTAATATTAGTGAATGGTCACAAACTGTGAAATGTACACTTTTGAGACTTCTACGTAAGAGAGGAAGACACAAAGCCAGCAACATCTTTTGCTTTTTGCCTCCCAAATGATTATTGTGAGGATTCACTGTCACCATTTAAGACTTGTGATGTTTTACTCTAAAATGTAGACATCCTGCTTCCCTTCAAAGAGTTGAAGGTGGGACACATTTTAGATGAGGCTGCCCAGACCACCAAAAGGTTGGAGCAGAGCAGCTCCTGCCTTTGTAGCTAGAGCTTGGTCTCCACAGTCCAGCAATCCTTGCTCTAGACCAAATGCTCTTCTTGTAGATGAAAAATAAAACAAGAATCGGAGAGGAAAAGTGCCTAGCTTATGGCAACTAAGCTAGTCAATAGTAGCACAAAGCCTCTGACTCAAAACAAGTCCTCTGACTGTTAAGGCTTACTTCAGAGAATGCAGGGCGTGGGTTCCACGTACCAGTATGTGCAGCCTCACCAGAGCTAATGTGACTACAAGCTCCTTCACAGACTAAATGTCCCCCACCAGTCTCTAACTACCTTTCATGACCCTGGTAATAATTAACATCTGATGTCCACAGGTACATGACTCCCCATGCATCCTGGGCCCACTCACAATGACTCCTCTCCTTTCTCTTACTAAAAATCGAATAGTAGAATAAAAGAGAAGATGGTCACTTTATGGGATGACATCAAATCTTCTCTAAGTGATAAAGGAAGCACCTAATTAAAAATTAAATATTTTATAACATTCCTGTCAGATATACATCATAGAGAGGTAAAGATGGGTCCATACCCTACTTGACAATCACTATCAGAGAAAATATGAAACTCCCATCTCTCTACAGAGACAGTATTTTCTGATTTCCAAATCAAAACACATGGTGTAAACAAGAGCTTTTTTTCTTTAATAAATTTAAGATTTAGAAAGTAGTACAGAATGTTTTATAAAAAGAATCATTGTTAGCTATGGTTTAATAAGTGGGTAAAAATAACCTATGTACTCTAAGAATGCCTGATTCATATATTTACATGATACAATTTTTAGAAATCTGCCTAGAATGTAGGTAAATTCATAACAATCACTGCCATTTTATTCTATTCCCTGC